GACACACTCACACACTCTCTCACATGCTCACACACTTTCACTCACACACTTCTCACACACACTCACACATAATCTCACACACTCACCCTCACACGCACATACACACTTTCATTCACACACACGCCCACACACTACTCTCACACTCACACACACTTTCACTCACATGCACTCTCACATACACTCTCTCACACTCACACACTCTACTCTCAAACTCACACATGCACTCTCACAATCACACACATTCTTACACTCTCACATTCACACAACATTCTCTCACTCATACATACTCATATACATACACACACATACTCTCCTTCACACACACTCACACTCACTCTACACACACACATTCACTCCACACACACTCTCTTACATGTTCACACACTTTCACTCACACATCTCTCACACTCACACACACTCACACATAATCTCACACACTCTCACATGCACACACTTTCACATACTCACATGCACTCTCACACACACACTCTCACACTCACACACTCACTCTCACACACTTCTACACACACGCTCACACATTCTACTCTCATACACACACTTTCACAATCACACACACACACACTCACACATACTCGCACACTCACACTGGGACCTTGTAGTCACACCAATTCACCTAACAGGCACATCTTTGGGATTTAGAAGGATCCCCAAGCACCTGGAGAAAATCCCCAGAAATAAGGGGAGAACTTGCCAACTCCCCCCACACGGTGGCCCTGCTTGGGAATCAATTTTTTTTTAACTGATCAACCTTATGATGAAACAATGCTGAATGCAAAGATGTTATTCAAGGACTTTCTGTATTTTTCATACTAAACTTATGACCAACAGCAGAACTGCATGTTAATTTGGTTTAGAAAAACACTAGTATAAATGCAAACGTTTCTGGATTGGTACAAGTGAAATGAATCAGAAGTTCAAGTGGAATAATAAATCTGGAAGAATAATTGAAAAATGTTTGAGGGAGAAAAGGAAAGAATAAAAGTAGGCTTTCCCCAATATATAAAATGTAATATAAAGTAAATAAGAGCTGAAACAGTGGTCTCAATCAGGGGTACTACTCTCTGCCAGGAAATGTTTGATAATGCCTTTGAGACATTTTTGCTTGTCATAGTTGAGTGTCTGTGGAGGGGCAGAGGGGTGGACGTGTGCTGTGGCATCTAATTGGCAGAAGCCAAGGATGTTGCTAAGAATTCCACAGTGCACCAGGTGTCCCCCTACAGCAAGGAATTATCCAGGCCAATGTGTCAGTAGTTCCAAGATTAAGAAGCTTGGAGCTAGAAGTACTAAAGCTGTGGTGTAGGTATAGAGTCTAACAGATAATTCAGCAGACAAGAAAGTCTTGCAATCTCAGGTGTACAAAAACCCATTACATAAACATTTTTTAAAAGTTCCATCAGTTTGACGGCTAATTCAGTAAATGCTAACAGATCAACTCACTAATGGATTTCAAGGAATAGAGGAATGCCCTTTAGTTCTCTGTGTAACTGACTGAAAGTTTTGGGGTGCATTTGGAGATGCTCTTCCTGGTCATTGCCTCTTGTTCACTTATGACCTGGAGGTAAAAATCCACTCTGGCCTGTACCTGGTTTGAATCAGAATATGGAGCCAGTCTAGTACTGGCTCAGAGGCACCTTGGACAGCCGCACAGGCAAGGAGGCAGTAATGGAAGTGGAGAACTGGGGCTCTAGAAAGCAGATGAGGCTGTTCACAAAAGGCAGCAGAGGAATCACAGGAAGGAGACAGGATGTCAACCTAGACGACACTGCCTACTGCATTTCAAAGAACCAAGAGCCTTCTACAATTCCAATATGGACACGCAGGAAGTGTACTGGGCCATCATAAGTGTACAGAGGTGACACAGTCTTTCTGTGAAAGAGAGTACTCGGCCAACTCCAATCGTCAGTTTCTTCCCTAAATTGTCCACATCACTTGCCACTGTACGTGTTTTTGATGAAATGTGCTTTTATGTTTTGCACTTTAAAAAATGTACATTGTTTAAGTTTGTGGGTAACTAGGCTTCAAGCAATTAAAGGCCAGGAAGGAGGTTATTTTGTATTCTCCAGAGTATAAAGTATGATTCTCTTCCTAAAAATAGTGGCATCTGTGACTTTAAATTATAGCTAGTTGATGAATCAATACAAGTGGGAAGATAGAATAATCTCCTTTACCCAAACTCACTGTTTTAGCAGCCTTAATCATTTGAAATGTATAAAAGAACCAATAAGTGGGCAGTGCCTGTGGCACAAAGGAGTAGGGCGCTGGCCCCATATGACAGAGGTGGCGGGTTTGAACCCAGCCCTCGCCAAAAACCACCAAAAAAAAAAAAAAAAAAAAAAAAAAAAAAAAAAAACCACCAAAGAGTAGAAAAAAGAAAAGCTTTCAAACTTCCAAAATAAATGTTACTAAGTTCATTTGTGCCATCTTAAATAAGTATAAAACAGCTAAAGGCAAAACCTGAGGTGGTTGCACCTAGGAATTATTTTTAACAATGTGACATAGGGATTAAGTATAAAGTCAATAACCTTTAAGCCAGTGAAACAAACTTTTTCAAATAGTATAAACTAGTATTATTGTTTTCATCAAAAACCAAGTGGCCTAAATCCCTCTCTTTGACATACAGATGCTATTTCCAGGTAATAAAGAGTTTAAGCAAAGCAATTCCTAGAGTATACTTGGGAAGAGTAAAATAAAACCCAATTTTCCACATTTTCCTGCATATATGCAATAGGCAATAAAAATAAGAATCGCTTAAAAAAAAAATAATGCAATAGCCAGGTGCGGTGGCTCACACCTATAATCCTAGCACTCTGGGAGGCCAAGGCAGGCGGATTACCTGAGCTCATAGGTTTGAGACCAGCCTGAGCCAGACCAAGACTTCGCCTCTAAAAATAGCCAGGCATTGGGCGGCACCTGTGGCTAAAAGGAGTAGGGCACCAGCCCCATATGCCGGAGGTGGTGGGTTCAAACCCAGGCCAAAAACTGCAGAAAAAAAAAAAAATAGCTGGGCGTTGTGGCTGGCGCCTATAGTCTCAGCTACTCAGGAGGCTGAAGCAAGAGAATCACTTAAATCCAAGAGTTTGAGGATACTGTGAGCTGTGATAGCACAGTACTCTACTGAGGGTGACAAAGTGAGACTCTGTCTCAAAAAGAAAAATTCAATAATTAAGGACTTTTTTATAACAGCTATGCTATAAGGAATTACAAACAGACTTTGAGGACTCTCTAGAGTTAGACTACTCACAAAGAGACAGTGACTTACCTGAAACAGAATTATTGGCACATCTGGCAAAGACAAGTATGGAACACAGAAGAGATTCAGCAAAACGTGTAGATTAGAAAGAATGAGTGAGAACATCCATGCAGGAGCAGGACGGCGATATGACCCTTCTTCACACATGACCGAGTACCTAACCGTCACCTGAGTGAGGAGAGATGGAGGCCATCAGCCTGCTGCATTACAGCTACATCAGGGCCTCATTTACTATGAGTTTCTAACATCACGCTTAAGTAAATCAACTCATAAGCTGTTCATAGTTGATCTCATGTGTTAAATCAGTCATTCTTCACTACCTCTTCATGTTATCAAATTAAAGCACTGTTCTGATATTGGTAGAAAGAGGTTTTATACAGCAATTATAGATACAATTCAATTGTTCGTAAATCGAGGGGAAAAATAGCTCAATTGTTTTTCTCGCCCTCTGAAATTCATAGACATAAAGAACTCACAGTTAGTAATGCAAAGAAAAGTTAAATTAAAAACCCATAAAGATATCCCTGATGAAATAAGTACTTTGTTAAAATGAAAAAGCATGCATTTTAAGGCCTACATCTCTGAAACCACATTCTTATATTAATATTTATAACCTAAATAAGATGAAATTAAAAAGTGATGTTTGGGGGTTGGCCATGACCAAGGTAGGGGTTCTGTCTAAACTAATTTGCCTCCCTTCGCAGCTGTAAGCAACTATAAAACTAAACAAAAACTAAAAAACCTAAATTAAAAACTAAAAAAAAACGTACTTTTTGAAGGAGAAATGAAATGCTAGCAAAAAATGAACATGTGGTGAGTTTGATGTTTTCTCAACTTTCTACCCTGGGAAACTCTCAGAGGTCTACACAGCACAAAAATATAAAACCCATGGAGAGAATAGCAGTCTTGCGGGACTGAACTGGGGGAGATTAGTGTTGAGGGATACTAAGGCAACTGGAATTTACAGGATAGAGAACCAAAGGGCAGGGCACTATCCAGACAGGAGTCCTTAGGATACAGCATGGGGAAGGCTCCGTGTATCCTTCGCCCACAGCTGGGCTGTACATGTACAGAGTGAGTCTCTTAGAGCTGATAGGAAATACCACAGAACTTTCAGGCTGTGTTTTTGAATACAAAGAAAATGCATTAGAATTCAATTAACTTTTTCAAAAAATAAAAGTATCTATAAATTAAATAATTCCACAAGGCCAAAGAAGAAATCACAAAGGACATTAAAATATTTCAATCATAATGAAAACACAACTATCAAAAATTTTAGGAAACAGCACAATAGTGCTAGAGAAAATTTTACAAATTTATAAACAGGTATTTAGGATTTTTTCAAGGCTAAAAATCAGTGGTTTGTGTTGTCATCTTAAAAGGTTAGACAAAGAAAAACCAAGTAAATTCAAAGCAAATAGGAAGAAAGAAACCATCAGTATGAAAACCTAAATCAACAGAAACATTTCAGAAAATAAGAAAGCCAATAGTAGGATTTTTAAAAGTACATCAGATATTTCCAGAGTGCATATTACATGCCACATGTTCCATCCTAGGTTAATTACACGGATTGAAACTAAACACCCCGTTGATGGAAGTATTTCAGATTGCATGTGAAAACCCCACACTGTACCCTAGAAGTGCATTAATGTACATAGTTACCGTTCAATAAAAAAAAAAAAAAAGAAACTAAACACCCCATTTTCTCTTGTCCCCAGGTTCACCAAATTTGAGATTTGGAGGTGCATTAGCAGAGTGCTTCCCCTGCAAAGCATCGGAGACTTCATCTCTCCTGCATTGCCTCAGATCCAGTAGGACCTCAGCAAAGGTTTGTCGAACTAATGAGTAAAAAAAAAAAATTTTTAACAGATGAGGAGAACTAAAGGAAGGAAAGAACATCTGTCAAGGTCTCCAAAGCCTGAAGGGGTGGAACCTGGGTTGAACTCGTACCTCAGATTCTGGGTTTTGTCCTTCACACCAGAAAATACCCTCTGCCTTGGCCGGCTCAGACCTCACAGGCTCAGCCCTCATAGGCCACTAGTGAACCTTAATAACTAGTTCTGTTTTTAAATTGCCCTGGCAACCCATCTTAGAAAGGCATTTCATTAGCATTCCTGTTCACTGGATGCCAGCTTGCTAGCCCAGTGGCCCCCTGAGAGGTGAGCAAGGAGAGAGTGAACGGGCACAGAGGCGTGTGCTGGAGCTTGCAGGTCCATTTAGCACAGGGGAGCGGAACTGTGTTGATTCACACCAGCAAAAGCCACTTTTCTCCAGGTCTCTCGCCTCCCAGAACTGTTCCTTCTCCCTAATTGAACCTGGGGGAAGCAAATTTTCTTGCATTACAGCTCAAATATAATTGAGATGATAGAAATCCTTCCCGCCAGTGGAGAACTGAAACTTCGCCATGAAAAACACAAAAGAAAATTTTAAATATATGTGTTTTCCTAATCTATGTAGGATCAACAGCAAGACACAGTCAGATCTTATCAGCTCAGATCAGAGGGGGGCAGAATAATGGTAGAAAAAGCAAGACGCCGAGGAAGGAAGTGGTGATGGGTGTTGGCACTAGAAAAGGCACAGCATGTTCCACTCTGAAATAAAACTTTTAGAAGTTCTATAAATCATGTGCCTTTCTAAACACTTCATAAAATACACATACATGATAGCAACCCTACAGCAAAACTCTTCTTTCTCCTCCTATTTTACAAATGACAAAACTGAGTAAGAAGCAGGTTAAGTAACTCATTTAAATTCACAAAGCTAATAAGTGGCGGAATCCAGGCAGTCTAATTCCAAAGTTTATGCTTTTACCACCCTCCCTCCGTGCTACACAAATAATTGACTTTCCTTGAATTCTTGCTTCAATAGGTAGACCATCCCTGGAATTCTCCTCCAAGTCAAAAACACCTACATTCTGAAGCTCAGATCTTGCAGACAGTTAAGCAGATGATGCATAACCCTTGCATCTCCTCTTTCCTTTCCACGCATTCCCTATTAGTCACCTGCCTCATTAAGGAGAGTGGAGCCAGGCGTGGAGTTCGTACTCTGAAGGAAGAGCAGACAGTTTTGAAAGTGAATCATAAATTTTCATTTAACACCTACCATAGACTAGAGTCACCCAGACTGGAAGACTGTCTGTGATTCAGAGCAGACAAGAGAATGCTTCCATAATAGGTGTCTGTGAGTAGATGATGTCTAAGGTCTACACAGCCATGCTTCGCTGTCCCTGCCTCTTAGGAAGCTTCCAGCCTAAAAGGAGGGAGCAGGATCCATCAGCTAATTCACTAGTGAATGTCCAGCTACAGGGTGCATGCAGTCCTCCGAAGGAAAGGAGGACAGGTCTGTCTGCAGTAGGGCTTCACAGAGGAAGCCGAGCTGGCCCTGGGGCAGCAGAATAGCCTTCCTTAAAAAGCTTGGGCTGAGAGATCAAGGATGAAAAGGCTCTTATTATGTGGCACACAACAGATGGGAAAAGAATTCTAGGCAGAAGAAACAGCACTTGCAAAGGCAAGAGAGCAAGTTGGTGTGGCCAGCCCCAAGCATGGAGCAGGGTGCCGGATGCACTGAGGCTGAAGCAGGAGGAAGAGGCAGGAGGCAGAAGGCAGGAGGCAGAGGCAGGAGGCAGAGGCAGAGGCAGGAGGCAGAGGCAGGACGCAGAGGCAGGAGGCAGAAGCAGGACACAGAGGCAGGAGGTAGAGGCAGGACACAGAGGCAGGAGGCAGAAGGCAGAGGCAGGAGGCAGAGGCAGGAGGCAGAGGCAGGAGGCAGAGGCAGGACACAGAGGCAGAAGGCAGAGGCAGAGGCAGGAGGCAGAGGCA